GGGGGGGGGGGGCGCGGGCTGTGATGGGGGCAATGGCGGTCTGGAGGCGGGAGGGTTCGGGCGCAGGCTGCTGGCCTGGGGTCTCATTTTTGGTTTGTACCCAGGGCGCGGCAGCGCTCAGACCCGTCCTTTGGAGGAGTTATGTAGAGTCATTTTACAGCTTGACCAGGCACGGCTGCCCTGCATCGAACCTCGCGGATCACGTACCCTGCTGACACACGTCCTTTCGACGTGGGCAAAATAGGTGCGAGATGCGGCGCTGAAGAAGACCAAGGCGGCGGAGGAGGCGCGTGAGGCGCTGGAGGCGGAGCGGGACAGCCTCAGGAGCCAGATCGCGTCCCTGGAGCGCGATGTGGCTGTGGCCAAGCAGGTGCGTGGGTCTGACGCTTGGAACCCCACGTTTTTTTCAGTGTCTGTGTTCTGCTTCCTCGTTTTCAATCGTTCATGCCTATGACGCACTTGGAGAGGGACTGATATTCCGAACACCATCAGGCTTTGTGATGTTCGCGGCGCTTTCGGGGCTTACAAGTGGCTGCTGTGCTGGTGCAGTGCAGCAGGAGCCGCCACCCCCTGCACTTCACCCTCACCCGCTCACCAGCCCGAACGCCGTTGCTTGGCCGCCAAGTACGCGGCCTGCCGGGCCATTCCATACGGCGCATGCAACCGCTATGCTCTTGTACCCCCCTCCCCCCCCCCCACACACACCACCACCCCCACCACCTCGATGCCCCACCAGGAGGGTGAGGCTGAGCGCCGCAAGCTGGAGGACCTGAAGCATGAGAGGGACATCCTGCTCAAGATGAGGTCAAACGTGAGCCTCTTTCTGTGAACCACCTAGCGGTGCTGCTCTCACTGTCATTCTGCCAGGGATGGGGGGGGGCCTTGACAAGAGCCATGATGGTGCCTGGTAGCTGTACCGCACAGGCGAGTGGTGCCGTTGATCCTTGAATAAGAACGAAAGGCATGGCGAAAGAGTCGCACTGAGTCCACCGGTGCCACGGCTCCGGCTGCACCTCTACCCTGCTTGGCGGTTTGTTGGCAGGGGGCGGGAGCAAGCTTTGAACCCCGCTGCGGCCCCAACCAACTGCCTTGATGGTGGATGCTGACCGTGCCCTCGCCCTCGCACTGCAGGCCGAGAACGCGACGTCGCGCCAGTCTGATCTGGTGCGCGTGGCGGAGAACACCCGCAAGAACCTGGAGAACGAGATCAACGGGTGGGTGGGCGGCGGCAGCATGACGTTGATGGACAGCTCACGCGTCGCATGCTTTGCCCCTTTTGTCCAGCCCCGCTCCCTACCAAGGGGCCTCGGGGGTCATCACGGCTGGCGCCAGCCGTGGCGCGTCTGGCGTGTTTAATATGCTGGACGTGCGCCTGCGTTCGCCGTCGACGAACCTGCTGCAAGCCACAGCTGCCGCCGGCGGTCCAGTCCGCAAGATCATTGTGTGTCAGTCAACGCCCCCGTCGCCCTCGATTCCCTGATCGTCATTGGCCCACCGCCCCAACGCCATAACGTGTACCCACGCCTCCAGGTACCGAGCGGAGGCGGCGCGCATGAGCAAGTCGATCTGGTCCCTGGAGAAGGAGCGGGAGAAGTACAGCGGGGAGGCGGCGGAGGCGGACGCAAAGTACCAGCAGGTGTGCGGAGTGCGGCACGAGATGCAGATGCTGGTGTGCGAATGGTCGTTTGTGCCGCAGCACCACTGCCACGGGCGGGTGATTGCATGGTGGGAGTTTGTTGGCAGTTGCAGGGCACTGGGCTTGGGCACAGCTGCTCTGCTGGGGTGCGATGGGGGTTGAGAGTGAATGTGAATGAATGACACACAGTGCATGCGTGACCCAAAACACTGCAAGCAACAACAAAACCTCGACAACTCCATGCATCAAGCGACTTTTGGTTTGGTTTGTGATTGAATGCTCTCCAGGCCCTGGAGGAGGTGAAGGTGCGCGAGGTGGCCATCGTGGAGCTGCAGAAGCGTATCAGCGAGGGCGAGGGGCGCCTGAAGCAGCAGCAGGTGCGTGCGCCGCCCGTCGCACACACAAGGGGACAGATGCAGGCGACTGACGGCCCTCTGCTCAGCTTGGTGGTTGGCAGGCTGCATGTTGCGTAACATTTGTGACACCCTGTTTCAGACAGCAAACCGCCGCGCTGTCGGCCAAGCATCCGTTTGTGGCTGCATACAAATGCTATCTTATAACGACCTCTGACTGCAGTCGCCTCCGCCTGAACGCCGCTAAAAATTTGGCCTGAGCCAACCCCCAAACCCCCTCACATGCTCGCTTCGCAACGCCTGCCCTCCTCATGCTCCACCCCCACAGGCCCTGTATGAGGCGGTGCGCGCCGACCGCAACCTCTACAGCAAGACGCTCATAGAGGCCCAGGACGAAATTTCTGAGCTCAAGCGGAAGTTCAAGATCCAGGGGCACCAGGTGCGACACAACCGGGCCCCCAGCTGCTGTGCGTCCTGCCTGCTGCAGTTGTTCACGTGCTGCACTGCCGTGCGTCAGTGAATGCACATCGACTCCAGCCACACACATGGCGCAGTGATGATGTGCGTGCTGAGCAGGATGTTTGCATCTGCACCACTCCTGCTTTGCAATGCAGGTTGACCAGCTGAAGGAAGAGATTGGTGTGAAAGACCTGGCCCTGGTCAAGGAGCATTTTGACCACATGAAGGTGCGGGTTTGACCGAATTTGACCAAGCATTACTGTGCTGTAAATTGACTTCGTGGTTCACACAAAGGCACAATAGCACATGCAACTTTTGCATCAAAAGCAGGGATCGGGATCTCGCAACGTGCCCGGCCCGCTCCAATATCCTCGACAGGTTGAGAAGGAGAAGGACGCCCTGCGCATGGAGCTGACCAAGGCCAGGGCGCAGATCGGGGAGGCGGACGCCGCCATAGGGGCGCAGAAGTCTGAGCTGGACAAGCTCAAGGCAGTGGTGGTGGAGGCGGACGCGGAGCGCCTGAGGCAGCGCAAGGAGTACGACCTGGTGGGGGCTTGCGGCAGGGTATTGGGCATTTCAAAAGATGACGATTTGCATAGAGAGAAGATGTGGGCTGCGGTCGCCGGACTATCTGATCATACTTGCGTGGCATAAAGGGTACATTCCTCTAAAAATGGCTCACCCTATGACTCACAATCTCGTCCAACCTGCCCCAAAAACCACAACCAGGTGATGGGGGAGCGCGACATCCTGGGCAGCCAGCTGATCCGCCGCAACGATGAGCTGGCGCTTCTGTACGAGAAGGTCAAGCTGCAGGGGGCGGCGCTGGCGCGGGGTGCGGTGCAGTACAGGGACAGGTGGGGCGGGGCAGGGGGGGTCGCATTCCGGTTAGCTGGCTGGTTGCTCGCGGGGACGGAGTGGGATTGGAAGCTCCTTTGAGCGAATGGTAAGCGCTGGCCCGTGTGAGACCTGCTGTTATGCTGCTGTGAGGCTGTGTATACAACGCAAAGCAGCCACCACGCTTGAGGTCGCCCACCACGCGAAATCGTGCGAGAACTGTTGCCGCAACGCCCACCCGGCTGCCCCTTGCCTCCAGGGTGTCTGAGATCCGCGTGCTCAAGGTGCGGCTGGCTGACCTGCGGCGCCAGCTGCATGTGCTGCGCTCAGGGGCTGCCAACGTCGACGTCCTCAAGCGCGAGGTGACGGGGGCTGCTGTGGGTGGAAGTGTGGTCAATGCTGTGCAGTGTGGATTGTGATGGGTTTGAAAGATGGATCTTGGCAAAGCAGTGGATGCCATGTTGCAAGACGCATGAGATGGCTGGGTGGCTGGCATGCACCGCCAATTGCGCCCATGTGTGTTGTTGACGCGGGGAGTGGCTCGCCTGCTCACCTGCTCGGTCTTTCACTTCGCGGGGCTAACAGCAACTGCTCGCCCTGCAGCCGCACGCACCAACGCGCCGCGGGTATTTGGCTCCGCCGGACATCCCACATTAAACAGCGCGCGTTGCGAGCGACCAATCCCCTTCTCATGGCACAAATGGACCCCTTCAAAACGGTCCCAGGTGGCGGCGCTGGGCCGCAGCCTGCTGGCGGAGCGCACCAAGGTCAAGGCGCTGAGCGAGGAGCTGGAGAACCCCCTCAACGTGCACAGGCGCGTGCTTTGGGGGGCGCGCGGTTGCGCTAGGTCGCCTTGTTGCGGGGGGCGGGGGCTTGGAGGGATACCCTTGGATGCGCGATCGCGGCAGCATGTGTGCCGTGCCATCTGTGCACACGGTTCATGGAAACACCGGCCTGTCTGCACTTGCGCGTGATGCCACCCGATCAATCCAGCAACCACCCAGCCGAGCGACCATCCACGAAGTCAGCCAATTCTCACCGTGAGACGCGCCCTTAAACCCTAAACCCACACCCTTGCAGGTGGCGCAAGCTGGAGGGCAGCGACCCTAGCGCGTATGAGATGATCCAGAAGATCCAGGCCCTGCAGAAGCGGCTCATTGCCAAGACTGAGGAGGCCGTGGAGAAGGACATGCTCATCCAGGTGGGGTCCTGCGATCTGATCTGATCTGACCTGACCTTACGAGAGGGTCGACCTGTGTGATCTGGATGCAGGTATACCAACGACAGCGTGCAGGCTGACACCTGCCAAATGACATTCTGTGGAGATGAGGGTGGTGTTTTTTGGGGGGTGGGGCTGGAGGAGTGGACGGGTGAAAAGGCAGCGCCGGCGCGCCATGCTTTGCGGCTTACGATTTTGGAGGAGGCCTGCCTTCGTTATATTCGACCCCCCCTCCTTGGACCTCCCACCCTCCCCATCAGTACATGCATCGATCACTGCCGCCCAGACTCACCTGGCGCCCGACGCGCCCCTCGCCCTCCTCGCATACCCTGAAACCCGTCACCGCAGGAGAAGGAGCGGCTGTATGTCGAGCTGAAGAACATCCTGGCGCGCCAGCCCGGCCCCGAGGTGGCGGAGCAGGTGGCGCTCTACCAGGGCAGCCTGCGCGGCAAGACCAAGCAGCTCAAGGCCATGGCCTCGGAGCTCAACATGGCACAGGCGCAGGTGGGGGGGGCGCAGAGGGGAGTTTGCTGCTGCGGCGCCGCGGCGCTGGGCCCACGGCGTCAGGGCAGATCTCTAGGTGTGCGGCCGCTGTGCCGATCACGCAGCGTTTTGGGCCGCTGAGGTGAGGGTCACCCTGTGTTTATGTCTGGCGCGATCCTGGCTTGAGATTCGAGATCGCCTTGCGCCCCCCCCTTGGCCCAATTTGCTATTCAAGGTGGCCGAGTACCGCTATGAGATCGAGCGGCTGGCAAAGGAGTTGGGGGAGCTGAAGAAGCGCTGGTTCGATGCAAAGCGGCGAGAGCAGCAGCAGCAGCAGCATCAGCAGCGCAGCAGCGGTGGCGGCGGCGGTACGGGCGCGCAGAAGCAGCAGCAGTCGGGCGGCGCCGCGGGACCCGCGGGAGGGGGCAGCAGAGACGGCGGACTCGGGGTGGCCGCGGCCGGGCAAGCGGTCAAGGGTGGCGGAGCCGCAGTGGTGTGATCGCCCATGCCGTAATGTTTTGGCTATGGAGTTTGTTGCGCTGCCCCTGGCGCATTTTTTTCGGCAATCGAGCGGGTGCCGGTCAACTTGTGTGCGGCCCTGGGAGTGTGGCGGTGACGAAGCGCCGCTGCAACATGCGGCCAGCCTGCTGCCTTTCATACATGCACCAATCACATCTTTCGACCGATGTAAATGCGCATTTTAACGCCCTCGTGCCGCGTTCCATTCGAAGTCTCAGAGATCCGGCAATCCAAACGCGAACGGGACCCCAACACTCGGCGTGCGGCATAGATTAGGATTACAAATCACGTAGAAACTGGTATATCATGCTGCGGTCTAGCGCTCGAAGCTTGCTCTTGAGCATCAGCCCCGCCGCCCTCCGCGGTCCTTGCTGGCACACGTGCACGAACGCGTGGCGCGCGTTTGCGTCGGGCCACGCCACGAACAGCGATGACCTGGCAGAGTTCCGGTTTAACGTGCAGGTGCGTTGAATGCGCAATCGCCTCGTAACGTGGGTCGCCGCAGCTCTATCTGTCACAGAGATGCGTTCAGGTGAAGGCGCTCCTAACGCTTCCAACCCGGATTGAAGCGCCGCGACGTAGCATGTGCGGCTGTGCGCAGCACGCACGCGCAGCGACGCCAAGCTCTTCTCTCATCCTGCTGGCGCTTGACTCACCTCCCGCATGTCCGGCACGCGCCGCAACCCTCTCTCCCGCCGCCAGCAATGGGCGGAGGGCGTGATCTCCCCTCAGATGGCGGAGGAGGTGGACCGCAGCAACAGCTTCCCAAAGGACGTGGACGTCTGGCGGGAAATGGGGTCCTTCGGCCTGCTGGGTAGGTGGACGTTTCGCCCCCAGCTGCTGCGATCCTCTGCACAAGCCTGGCGCATGACGGAAGGCGGGGGGTAGGGGGCTGCTGGCTGTGTTCTGGCTGGCTGTGTTCAGCGCTGGTGCTCGGCGGCGGTTGCTGGTTCAGAGCAAGCCTACCGTGTGGCCCCGACATTCAAAGATCAGAGCACACGTCCTAGCAGGTGTAGCCATCCCCCGCAAGCGCATGGGCAAGCCACATGCAGTATTGCCAGGGGGGGCACAGCGCCCGCATGCTCGGCTTCACCCGCCGAGCTGGGATTGTCGCGCGGGCGGGGCAGGGGCGGGCGCCCCGTCACAAAGTGGCGGACAGGGCGCAAAGCGCAGGCGTCTCAGGGACGGCAGCTGCCCAGGGCCCGCTCTCGCGCTCACGCTCAGCATTTGCTGCTTCCGCCGCGCTCTGCGACGCACGCCAGGCATCACAGCACCGCCCGAGTATGGCGGCCTGGGGGCGGGCTACTCTGAGCACTGCATCGCCATGGAGGTGAGGCGTTGGAGGGCCCGCCTTGAGGCCATAACAGCCCCACGAGGGGAGGGTCGCCAGCAGACGGAGAACGGCCCATGGGCGCGCTGCCACCTTGGGGCACATGGTTTCCTTGACCCACCCTTGTCTTCCAGCAAAGGCTGCTCCCCTGGGAACAAACGACTCCCCGCACACTGCATCGTGACTGGAAGCAGCCCGCCTCTCTATCATGTCGACAACTCTCAAAAACTGGCTTGTATTGTTCCCCCCCGCAGGAGATCAGCCGGCGCTCTGGGTCCATCGGCCTGTCGTACGGCGCGCACAGCAATCTGTGCGTGAACCAGCTCGTGCGCAACGGCAACTCGGCCCAGAAAGAGAAGTACCTGCCGAAGCTCATATCAGGTTGGGTGGGCGGAAGGTGGGAACTTCACACCTGTTGCGGTTGCGAAGGAGGGAAGTTGTGGGTGAGGCCGTCGAGCCTGTCCATGTGCTGAGCCAACAGCGGTGCTCATACGGGGGCTAAGGGTGGTGGGAGGGCCGCTCATCGCCTCAATGTCAAAAATCTTGTGGTCAAAGGTGGTGGTGAAAGGTGGTATGACAAATAGAGGGGGTGCCAGGAGCCCACTTGTAAAGCCTTAAGGTCCAATGTCTTGGGTGCTCCTATTGGCCTGAACACCAGGACCCCTGATCCATCTGCTACCCGCCAGGCGAGGCCATCGGGGCGCTGTCGATCAGCGAGCCTGGCTCAGGCTCTGACGCCGTGAGCATGTCCACGCGCGCGGAGAAGAGGGGCGACCGCTTCATCCTGAACGGCAACAAGGCCTGGTGCACCAACGGGCCGCGGGTGCGTACATACGCGCGGCCGGCACGCGGGCGATCTCGTTGTCGCGCGAAAGGTAGTGCACAGCGCGCGCTGGCAAGGTTGGCCCCCCTCTAAAACATGGTGAAGATGTTTAACAGCATGCTCAAACCGCTGACTGCAGGGCACGGATAGCGGGCGTTTTGTGCATCTAAAAGCCCCTGGGAGGCGCGAACCCTAGTTCCTGCCGACCACGTTCGCCGCCCCCGCCAGGCCAGCACGCTGATCGTGTACGCCAAGACTGCGCCCGAGAAGGGGCCGCATGGAATCACGGCCTTCATCGTGGAGAAAGGGATGAAGGTGACAAAGGGGGGATGGGGGCGGTGCAACCCCTAAACACCAAGTGGCCTCTGCTACGGTCTTAGCAACATACAATGGGCCAGCTAGCTGCGGCTGGCACGCTCCGACTGTCGATGGGCGTCGGTGGGGCTGGGTGTGCCGATGCGCGCTGTGAAGCTGTATGCCCATTGCAACATCTTCCGCGTGCGCACCCAAGTGTCTGTCTGTCCATCCTTGCCCCTGACCGCCCGCCCTCCAGGGCTTCAGCACCGCCCAGAAGCTGGACAAGCTGGGCATGCGGGGCAGTGACACCTGCGAGCTGGTGTTTGAGGACTGCGAGGTGAGGGCACGAGTGTGCATGTGTCTCTTTATGTGTACACGCGCGCGCGTGCTTGTGTGCATGTGTGTGTGCGTGTTTGTGTGTGTGGCTAACGAGCTGCCCATAGGATTGGGTGGGAGTTTGGGAGTTGTGTGTTGAGGAAGAGGTTGAGGTAAGACATGCCGTTGCAGTGGCGAACGTGCCGTTGCAGGGGCAGCAGCAGGGCACTTGCACAGCGGGGGCTTGCGAGGCCAAAAGTCGCGCCAGCGCGAGGATGCCGAGATGTGCGTGGCACGAGGTAATTTTTTGAATGCTGTAGGCCGCCTTGTGCAGCAACTGCTGCGCCAAGCCGAGGTGGTGTGGTGCCATATAACGCGGCTGCACCCCAGCTGTGCGGACTTGCAACACGGAAGTGCGCGCCCCCGCTTGCGCACCCCAACCCCGCAGGTTCCGGCAGAGAACGTGCTCGGCGGTGAGAACAACGGCGTCAAGGTGAACCCATTAGACGCGCGCGGGCCAGTCACGATACGGAGGGGGACCAGGAGGCAAGTGTGAGCGGCGCGGCGCGCGTGTGCAGTCCGTGGGACGGCTGTCACACCAGACCATGGCAACGAGCTGCCCGCGTTGCTCACTGTTGCTTTGACGCAGGAGCCCGCCGCTGCCGATCCCCGTGCTCCCGCCTTTGCCGCTCCACGATGCGCCGCGCCACCACCTCAACACGCACAGGTGCTCATGAGCGGCCTGGATTACGAGCGGCTGGTCCTGGCAGCAGGCCCGGTGGGGCTGATGCAGGCGGCGCTGGACGTGGCCGTGCCATACTCCACGCAGCGCAAGCAGTTTGGCACACCCATCGGCCAGTTCCAGGTGTGAGCGCGCTGTCTCTGTTGTTTGAGAGAGATGGGGGATGTGGCGCGGGAGGACGGGGCCGTTGGGGAGAAGGTGGGTGGCACATGACGGGATTCCTGGGAGGCGAGTGTTGCGATGCAGTTGCAATGGAGACGGCGGTAATGTTTAGGTGCACGCATCCAAGCTTGAACATGAAAGCTTGCCATCTGTTTGTCGCGCCGTGGCTGAGAACACACATACACACACGCGCTCACACACACGCACGCACGCACGCACGCGGGCGCGCTGCGCTGCGCTGCGCTAGCTGCAGCCCTCCTCGCTAAGCGCCCCCCTCCACCCACCTGTCTACTTGCTTGAATGCTGGCCAACCTCTTGGTTTGCCTTGCACCTTGCTGACAGGCTTTGACCTTCTGTTGCAAAATCCTCAACCATCAAAAGTTGGTCGCAGGCAAGCTGGCCGACATGTACGCAGCTACGGGGGCCTGCAGGGCATACGTGTCTGCAGTGGCGCATGATGCCGACGCTGGCCGCGCCAACCGCAAGGACTGTGCAGCTGTGATTCTCTTCAACGCGGAACGTGCGACCCAGGTTGCGCTTGATGCTATACAGGTGTGAGTCTGGGAGGGCGTATGGGTGACCAGGGCTTAATCTAGGAAGCGACTCAGCAGGCCGCGCAACGCACACCGACAAGCCCCCATTGCGTGCGTGCATGCACGTGCGCACAAATACCACACATGCACACGTACGCACGTGCATATACACATACACACTCTCATGAGCGCGTGCATGTGTGCCCACGGCCGTGCCAGGTGCTTGGTGGCAACGGCTACGTCAACGATTATCCCACTGGTCGGTTGCTGCGGGATGCAAAGCTCTATGAGATTGGGGCAGGTGGGGACGGTCGGGGCTGGCGCGGGCTGGCAGGGCTTGGTCGGGGCTGGCAGGGCGTTGTGTTGGCTGGTGGGGGCTGGCGGGGGGCCGGTGGGGCTGGTAGGAGGGGATGGTCTTGCAGCCTGCACGCTGTTGCAAGTTGCCTCGCGTGGCGCCCGCGGTGCTGATTGCGAACATGCGGCCAACCCCCTCTGTCCCTGCTGCGGGGCGCTGCGTATGCCCACCTCCATCCGCCGCGCCCCGTTGACAGGCACGTCTGAGATACGGCGCATGCTGATTGGGCGGGAGCTCTTCAAGGAGGCGGAGCAGTGAGGCATTCTGCAGCCAGCCAGCTGTGGCATGCCTCACGCTGCCGCGTCTCGTTGTGTTTCTTGGCTTTCGGATTCAGGTCGCCTGCGGCTGGGTTTCAGTTTGGCTGGTTGGCTCCATGCATCCTGCAATGAATTACTTGGCAGACGGGTGCGCACTTTGCCAAGCCTTCGGCAATTGTTTGTCCCTGAGTCTGCAGCTGTGCGTCTCTGCGTCGTCGCACAGTTCCAGCAGTGGTCAAAGGTCTGGTTCAATGTGCGTTATCTACCAGGCAATTCGCATCTGCACCACTCTCACAACGCATGCAAATGGTCACGCCCAGGCAGTGGGCTGTGCTCATGCCAACATACAACAAGGTTACTGTCCCAATTCAAACGCCACTGTCCTGAACATGTCTTGATCTGCTTCAGCAGCAAGCAGCAGCTCTCTGTATTTCATCTCCTATAATCCCCTGAATGATTTGGGATCGCTTTGGTATGCGGAGTCCAGTGGGGGAAGTGCTTGGCGACGTCGTGCAACAGCAAGGTTGTCATCAGCGAGGGGCTTTCCTTTGTGGCACAAGCGCACATGTCACCCACCCCTGGCCTTGCACAAGCACACAAGTGGCTCGAATGCCAGTTTAGTTAGCAGTCCAACCAACACCTGTCCAGCTCACAACGCCCAAGGTTCAAGCATGCAGACCTCCCATCACTTGCAGGGCTGCACGTGCAGCTTTTCGGCCCTTCAACTGGCGGTGATGTCACCATTGATTCGATGGCGTTGGCAGGCCAGCACGTGACGAGCAATTACAAATTTTTTCAGTTTGTATGCGCTACGGAGGTCGTTGCCGAGTATAGCGCACCAAGGCGCAACTCCGATTTGAATTTGGGCACGCAGCTGCTCCAACCGGCTCCCTGATGCGAAGTGCATCCAGGGAAGCCGCGACAGGAATACTCTTAAAAGCACATGAAATCTGCCACTGACTGCGGGCTCTACGCAATAGATCGCCTCTCATCGAATTTACCGCGACAGGCAGCGTGCTGTGCCGATCATGAGCAAGGCGCGTGCAAGGCAGCGCTAAGGCGCCCATGCAGCTGTCGGACAGCTACCGGGTGCAGTGCGTGCTGCTGTGGGCAGGCGCCGCCTCGCCCCTGCTCCTTGTGGCCGCAGGGGCGTACTTCGCATGCTGCCTGTTGCCGGCGGAGCTGCGAACTTGCAGGGAGGCCGCAGCATGCAAAGCGCAGTGCGCCTTGCAGCATGAATCGCCGGCGGGCCCAGCGCCACAGTACCCACGCGGCCCTGCAAATCCAGCCGCAAAGCTGGTGCCGCGGCGACAGCCGGCGCAAGCGGCAGCGGCGGCGACGGGGGCATGCAGCCTGGAAGAGGCATGGGCAGTGCTCGCGGCTCTACTGTGGCTGGCTATGCGGGCGCCCATCTTCGGCACTCTGGCGCTAGTGTTTGCATACGCGGTCCTGCTGCCAGTCCAGCTCGGGTGTGGCGACACGGGTGACGACGACGCGAAAGGGGTGGCTGCGGCCGCGACCCCCGCCGCGCCCGCGGCGCATGCCGCCCCAGAGACGTCTGCAGGTGGCCCGACACACGCCGCAGCGCCCGGCGCGGACTTGTCTGCGGACACGCCAGTGCAGGCGGGGGCGGAGGTGCAGGTCGTGGACGCGCGACGCGCCCCAACTGACAGCTGCGACTTTTGGCACGCGACTGTCGGCGAAGACGCGCCGCTGCCGCCTGTGCCGGCGCCCCTGCCGCAGCGCCAGGCGACCGGGGGGACTGCGCCGCTTGTGCCACCGTCGGCCCCTCGCCGGCCAACGCCGGCGCCAATCGAGGCGGCGATCCAGTTAGCACTTCTCAATCCCGACGGACATTCCTTTTCATCTCCAGCGTCGCCCAAGGGATCTTTCCAACCTGGAAGTGGGCACAGCTGCCAGACCGCGGTTTGTGAGGGGCTTGATATTGCAGCTCTGGCAACACTGAATTGGCAGCAGCAGCAACAGGAGCCGCCGTTGCCCTCGTCCCTTCAGCGCGTTTGTGGGGCGGACAGCGCAGAAGCCTGCCCCGTCAGCCCTTCGCCGCAGCAGCCGCAGCAGCAGGGCGGCCCACCAGGCGCAGCGCCGGCGGCGGCGGGCACGCCGGTGAGGCATCCTTTGCCGGCTGCAGCGCTGCACGGGACGCAGCTGCCGCCGGTCACGGACGGACTTCAGAAATGCCTGTCGCCCGAGCTCGTATCAGAGGGCCCCCTGGCCGCTCCGTCCTCGCGCAGGCGCAGCCCAAGCGCGCCCTCTGCAAGCGCCCGCACTCTGGGCGGCTGGGACGGGCGTGAGCGGCCGCTCGCGACGTCGCCGCGGGGCAGTGCTGCGTGGCCACCGTCGCCGCCGTCCTGGGGGTCGCCCCGCCCTCAGGCGCAGCTGTTGGTCGGGGCTCCGCCCGGAGGGGCGGTGGAGGTGGCATCCCTTGAACTGAGCTGCGGCAGTGCAAGCAGTGGCGGCGCGAGCAGCGGCGGCAGCGCCAGCTGCGGCGGTAGTGGCAGTGCATCACAGGCGGCGTGGGCGGGGTGGTTTGCGCGCAGAGCGACAGCGGACGCGCCGAGCAGGGGCGTGCGGCGGGTTCTGGGTGATGAGGATGGGGCGGCAGGAGACGTGGAGCTTTGGCTGCAAGCCCTGCGATGCCAAGATTACAAGGCAGACAGCGCCGCCTTTCCCAACCTGCGCGACGCGGCGCCCACGGCGGCGCCGGCGCGCGCTTTGTCCGCGCCGCCACCCCTACCGCTGCCTCGGCCGGCGCTGACCGTTGGCTGCAACGCAGAGGCGCAGGCGCAGACACTGGCGCGCCCACGGGCAGCGCTGAAGGGCCAGGCCTCGCCCGGACCTGAGGAGGGCGCCGGCGCGAAACCCAGTGCTGTGCCCATCACTGCCCCTGAGCTGCGCGTTTCAAGGGCGACCGGCGCGCCCGCACCCGCGTCCGCGGCGTCTGCGCCGCCCACGCCGTCGCGGGCTTCTTCGCCTCGCGCCTCCCCCAGCCAGCGGACGCCGACGGCGTCGCCGCACCATGAAGCGGTCACGGGCAGGGCGTCGCTGCCGCCGCCATCGGCTGCGAGGCCGAAGCCGCCGTTGCCGGCGTCCCCGCCGTCTTCCCAAGACGAGGAGCGCCAAGCGGCGCGGGCGCCGGCGGCGAGCCCGCAGGGGGCCTGCGAGCGGCGCTGCCTGCCTGTGGAGCTGCTGTCGCAGCGGCCGGAGGCGCCCTGGCACGCGTTTGCGCGTGCGGCGCAGCTGCCATTCCCGGATGCCGCAACCACCAGGTGTGTGGGTCAGACGGAGCATCAGCGGGGAGGCTGGCGAATGCGCAAATGCAACTCGTCTGCTCCCTGCCTAGCTTGATGCCCTTTGAATTGGGTAGCGGGAAAGACAAACCCCAGCAAGAGCCTCCGCAAACGAGCCTGCGCCCCTCACCCACCCGCTCAACCGCACGCAGCAGTGGCCCTCAGGGCGCGGATCTGGCGCCCCCTGCCCTGCAGGCCTCGCAATCTGCATCCATCGTCCAGCGCGCCGACACGATGGGCACGGCAGACTCGATATCCCTCCCGCTCCCGCCGCAAGCGCCGGCACCTCCCGACGCGCCGCCGCTGAAGCCGCCGCGCTCGCCGCCGCCTCCTGAACAGCTTGTGTGCCAGAAGCCGCCGCCACGTCGACTGCAGCAGCGCAAGGCGGAGCAGCATGGGCAGCAGCAGCAGCCGCTCATGCCGCCGACCCTGTACGGCATGGAAGAGCCTGCATTCGACAATCACGGCGGCGACAGCTACGCTCCTGGTGCGGCCGGCCTCGATTGCAGCTCGGCAGCGAGGCGGGGCTCAGATGCATCACTCCCTCAGCAGCAATTCGGAGGACAGCAAATGGGAGTCAAGCAGCTGGAGAGCTTTGAGGATGAAGAGGGGCAGCAGCAGACCGCTGTCGTGTCATCATGTCGTGAGCAGCTGCTTGCGAGCATGCCCCTGGTCAGTCAGGGGCATCAGGGCGGCGCCAGCGGCGGAGCAATCGTGGGGACGGCCGCGTGCGACCGGCTGGGGAGGGTCGCTGAGGCCCGGGCGGGCGCCGGCGGCCGCGGCCGCGGCCGCAGCGCGGCCGTTGCGCCGGACTTGCACATCGCGCGCCGCAGCCCTCCCGGCCGCGGTCACGGCGGCGCCTCACCCAAGCCGCGCGCCGTCCGCTCCGCCATTGCGGCGGCGGCCGGCCGCCGCGGCAGCCCCCAGGCCCCCGCCCGCGTCGCTGCAGCGGCCGCGGCGCGTGGCACCATCGCCCCTGCCAGCGAGCAGCACCCAGCAGCTGCTCAGCTTCCCGCCGCAGTCAACCTGCTGGGCGGCCCACCTCAGCTCAGATTGCAGCCTAAGCGCCAGCAGCAGGCCCAGCCACGCCCCACCTCGCCCGCCTCTTTGACCCTGTCAGCCCGAGGGGTCTGCTCGTACACCGACAGCCCGCGCGGCGTCAGCACCGCGGCCCGCGCGCAGCTGCGCCGCCCGACGAGCGCCTTCCGGCCGCACACCGCCGCGCCGCCGCCGCTCCCGCTCCCGCTCCCGCTGCCAGAGGGGTCCGCGCCCGCGGGGGTGCTGCGGGGCCGGGGTGCTGCGGGGCGCTTCGCTGGGCTGGATCGGTTTATCGCGCTGCTGCGACCGGGGGCGCCCGCCTCGGACGCCCAGCCCTCGCCGCCGCCGCAGCCCTCGCCCGGCGCCGCGGGCTCCCCGAGAAAGGATGCAGGAGGGCCTGGCCGGCGGCGGCAGGCAGGGGCCGCAACGCAGCAGCAGCAACGGCCTCGTGGCGGCGGCGGGGTCCGCTTCGGTGCGGCGCGCTTGGACGGCCTCAGGACCAATTGATGTCTTACATCTCACACGATTCGGAGGCGCCGGCGCTGCTTGCTGCGCGTCTTGTGTACATGTGCCGGCCGTTGCCTCCTTTATTGCATCGATTGAGCACGCCTTGCGTTGCTTGTTGCCGCCGATGCTCGGCTGGCCAGATTCCCACCAGGCGTCAGTCGGGAGTGCCCGCCGACTGGCGAATGGCGCTTTGAGTGGCCCCTTGACTTGCGACCGCCACCTGTGGATGAAAATTGCAGTCTTTGTTTGCGGATTGCCGCTCAACGACATACACTGTACGCAATTGCGTCAACAAATACTCAATCTCAATAAACGCCCAGTGACGGCCACCGCCGCGTCACGAAGCTGCCCGTCGTTGCAGCCTGTCAAATGCCGGCTTGCTGCTGAATTTCTGCAGGCACCGGCGCGGCACGCCGTGCCTCTTGTGAGGCGCAGCGTTCGACGCGCCGACATAGGAGAATTGCGCGTGTCCAATCACAGTTGCAGTCACCTACCAAATGCATGTACAACCTGCAATATCATAACATACAGTACAATTTGCAATCCCACTGTGGCGCCCCCAAGCACCCAAACATCTACACAGTTGCAGCGACCCTTGTTCCCTGTCAGGAGGGCGCCACGCATCCTGGGTAGCCCCGGGTGGCGCTATCCCAGTGGATCGCATGGGTGCCGCAATGGCCGCGTGTCCAAAACTCCTTTTACTTATACCATACTCTGCCTTGCACCGCTTGAGTTCCTCTAGGGAGTCTCTTTTGCTGTGGCCTGCTTGTTTGTCATGAACCCTATAGCTGTCCCCTGGACATGACGGGGGCCCTCTTGTGACATCATCGTGTGTCATCTGACACATCACAAAACGTTGTTGCCAAATCTGGGACTGTTATAGGGTTGAGCTGTAAAGTACTCCCACCGGTTCATCCAGGCCCAAGAGATCAGCACAGCTTGGCGCTGGTGAGGTACGGGTGGTGGCTACGGCACGGGCGGGTACACTCAAGTCTACTGTTACTTCACAGGCAGCAAGACACGTGTTGGCAATTGGGGTATGCGCTGGGAAACGTAGGACTGCGCAGGCGCACCATTGGGCTGCAGGGTCTGCAGTGATCAAGTCACAGGGACTTTAGTCGGTGTCAGGGGCGTAGGGTGTTGCAAGTTGCCTGGTGGCAGGGAGAGCAGTGCAGCGAGTGCAAAATCATAGGTGCACGCCGCTGACTGGGCGCACGCTGTCGGGAACATTTGTGCAGACCAAGGCGAAACATGCCGTCTAGGGCGCATGCATGCAGTACGGCCCGTGCATAGGTGGAGGCCCAGACTCCACCTTCCCAGAACAGTGCATAATGAGGCCCAAACTGCAATGCCACCTGGGTTCGATGCATGGGCTGGGGGACACCAAAACGCGGCCAGCATAACAGATGAATGGCTCATTGGCCACAGGTGAAGGCCGGATGAACGCACCGACGCAGCAAGCCCCCCCTACACACACACACACACACACACACACACACACACACACACACACACACACACACACACACACACACACACACACACACA